GTTGTCACTTCGAGGGGTAAAAAGTATAACTATTGCACTGTGTTGTACAGCTGAAACTAATTCTAAAAAATGTGTATTTCATAATAAAAAATAATTAAAAGAAAAAAAAAACATAGGAATTTTTATAACTTATTTCTGTTATTCTAAATTAATACATTGTGGTCAAAGAAGGTGGTCTTTGTGATACCAATTCTTTGAAATGTGTTGAGCCTGGGTTTATGGGCTGCTGTGAAATCAATTTTTACACATGTTCCATATACACCTAAGAAAAAAAAAATTTCTAATTTTTTGGTGCAAGGTTCTATTATGTGCCCATTAAATCTAGCTTCTTATTTATTTAAACCTTTTCTGTCTTGACTAAATTTTTTCTCTGCTTGACCTATCAAATACAGGAAGAGTGTGTTAAAATCTCTTTCTACTATGTTGGAATTGTCAATTTAAGCCTGGAATTTTATCAACCAACTTAAAATTTTTTATGTCTTTGTGGTGAAATGTAAGATGTGATGACACTGTTCTCATTAATGTGAAATTATAATTTTCACCTTATAATCTTATCTGATATTAATTAGCTACCCTTGCTTTATTTTTAGTTACTAGGATTTTCTTTTTCTTTCATCTGATAATCTCTGTCTTCTGACAAAATTTGTTTTTATCTTATAATCTTATCTGAAATAAATTTAGCTACCATAGCTAAGTGAAAAAAAAAGCCAGACACAAAAGGTCACATAGTATATGATTTCATTTATATGAAATGTCCAGAATAGACAAATCCATAGAGACAGAAAGTAAATCAGTAGTTGCTGGAGTTTGCACAGGATGAGTAGGGAATAACTACTGATGAGTAGAGGGTTGCTTTTGGGGGTGATGAAAATGTTGCAAAATTAGATAGTGACAATGGTACACAACTCTGTGAATATACTAAAAATGACTAAATTGTATGCTTTATAAAAGTGAATTTTATGGTATGGGATTTATATGTCAATAATCATAAAATATTTATATAGACAATTATATAGCTGTTTTTAAATACACATCCCTCTGCATTACATGGTCTGTTCTGGAGCGTGGGCTTGGAATTTGCATCATTCTTAAAGCTATCAAATGGAACACAGGAATGTGACTTCTGGCCTAAAGAGCAACAACAACAACAAAACCTTCATTTTCCTTGAAGAAGGGGATGTTAGAAGCAGAATGTTACATGCTCCATATCCCACTGTCAAAATGCTGTTTATCTCCTTTCATGCTATAGTTTTTCATTTCCTCAGGAAAGCCTTTCTCACCCCATGCTAACATGTTGAGCTCTGAGACTCAAGGCCTTCCTATTGAGCAGCTGCTTATAAATTCTGGACAGATAGAAAGGAGAAAAATGCCACTGGTGCAGATATAAAAGGAGATACATTCAACAACAAAGCCATTCAGAAGAAACTTTTAAATAACATTAAAAACTGAAAACATTCACAAGAATCTGTTTTCTGTTATCATAAATAAATAAATAAATAAATAAATAAATAAATAAATAAGTCCCTATGGTGTATTTGTAACACAAGAGTCTTCAAGGGCACTTAGACTTCAGAGAGTATTGCTCTATCTTGTGAAATAAAACATTATGTCTGTAAAGGCCTGACCTATGAAATAGTTGAACTGTTCAGGCTGACACCTCAGTTTTCTGAAAGTTTAAATCCATGGTGTTTCTTCGTGAGTCTGCTGGGAAAGCTTTGAAATTTCTCTCTTATTCAAGTCACATACAAGTTAAATAATATGATGAATCCACCAGACTCCTTATCTTGAAACAATGAGTTCTACTGTCACATTAGACAACAAATGGGAAAACATGGCAGCACTAAAACTCTTAAGACTTCTCTATAGATTTAACACTGTACTGCCATTCCAACGCTCCTTCAGGCCCTGCAAGAAAGAGTGCTGTTTGAACTGACATTTCCCACTCCTACACTTTGAATGTATGTGTGCATTTAAAATGAAAAGGGAGAAAAAGGGAAGAAAAATATTGAATACACACAGTGAGGAATGGTAAGGTGCACTGAGTGGTTTTAAGCCACACAAACATAGCTCTCTAATGCAGGATATGAAAATGAAAGTCAAAAAGAAACCAACTGTCAATCAGCTGAAAAGCTTACCTTCGAAGAATCAACTCTGCTTGTTGTTCAGAAATAGTTAAACCTAGCATCTGGAGAGACTGGACAATTTCGGAAGCCTCAATTTTTCCTTCAAAAAATAAAAAGAAAATAAACTCAGACTCGGACCTGATAAAACCCTCAGAAACCATGAATCTCAAATTCCTCATTTTATAGAGGAAAGCCTTGAACTAATTAAGGTAAAATTATGAATTTATGTACCGTATTTGCCGGCGTATAAGACGACTGGGCGTATAAGACGACCCCTAACATTTCCACTCAAAATACAGAGTTTGTTATATACTCGCCGTATAAGACTACCCCCTCTTCNTGAAGCGATGTCCTCCACAACTAGACTGAAGAACAAAACGACAGCAACTTGTCTGTTCCCCTTTCCCCAATTCCCCAGCACTGTTCCCATCCCCCAATTACCCAATAAAAATCTTTAAAAAAAAAAAATTTAATATATTGTAGCCTTAGATATTTTTTATTTAACTTTTTTGTTTTACAAGCTTCTTGGCAATAATGCCATTTGTACCTGTTTTTTTCCTAAGAGTCGCTCTGCATTGTACCAGGCTTCTGACTGTTTTGGCACTACTGTACCCAGCACCTAAAGTGGCTGGCACAAGGAAACTGCTCACTTGTTGAATTAATGAATGTCTCTGAAAAACAGTTTTGGTGTTGCCTCCAGACTTTAAATTTTTCTATAATTTGTGCGAAAATTATGAATAAAGATGGCAAGAGATTTTGCAATTTTGTTCACTGATATGACCAGTGTCTAGAACAGTGCCTGGCACAGAGTAAATATTTATTGAATGAATAAATGAATTCTAAATTCTGTAGCTTAAAGCCACAAAACACTTAGTATTGACAAACTTCTTAAATAAAATGGTCTCAACTGTGGGTTTATAGAGTATTTCTTTTCAAATTACTAAGGAGGTTGAGCATCTCCTACCATTATTAATTTGCTATTAATTTCTCCCCCATGTGACATGTCTGTTCATGTCTTTTGCTCATTTTTCTAAAGGGTCGTGGGTCTTTTTCTTATATATGTATAGTCCTCTATACACTTAATTCTAATCCGTCAAGTTATAAATTAGCAAATACCTTCTCTTTGTCTTTCACTTTCTTTATGGTGTCCATGAATAGATGCTCTTAATTTTACTGTAGCTGAATTTGTCAATCTTTTCGTTTATGATTACTGCCTTTTGTGCCTTTTTAAAATAAATTCTCCCCTACATTGACATAAAGACACTTCCTGTTTTTTCCCCTAAAAGTATTATAGTTTAACTTTCACATTTAGGTTGATTTTTGCGTGTGGTGTGAGGTAGGTATCTAATTTCATTTTTGTCTGCATGGATGGATAACCAGGAGCTCCAGCACCATTTATTAAATAGTTTCTCCTTTTCCCAGTGATTTGTAAAGCTACTTCTCTCTTGTGACAAATCCCAAATATGGGTGGGCCTGTTTCTGGGATATGATGTTCCTTTTGTCAATCTGTCGATTTGTGTAGCAATACCACTGTTGTAATTACAGCTTAATAACAACTCCTGATATCTGATAGGGCAGCACTTCCCTTCTTCCTCCTCCACCCCATTCCTTGTGGTTCTTTAAGAATGTCTTGGTTATTCTTGGGCCTTTGCCCTTCAATGTAAGTTTGAAACTCAGCTTGAGAAGTTTTTTGAATGGCACTGAGTCATTACCAATCGGGAGAGAAGGTACATCTTTTCTGTACTGAGTCTTCTGTAATGCCTTCTAATGAAATTTTTGAAGTTGCCTTACGAAAGTATTGATTGTGGTATATTATGTCTTTTATGTACAGCTACTTCAGTTTGCTACTATTTTCTTTAAAATATTTCCATTTAGGTCATACATGATATTAGCCTGAAATTTCCCTCTTTCGTTAATTGTGTGCCTTTGGTATTATGGCTATAATGGCCTCACAGAATGGACTGGATACACTCACAGAATGGAGTGTACTTCTACACTCCACAAATATTTATAGCTCTGTTCTTTGACAGTTTGTAAGAACCATCTGGGGCTAAAGTTTCCTTCATGGGAACATTTTTAATTACTGAATGCAATGTCTTTATTTAAGTTACTATTGGCTATTTCTTCTTGATTTAGTTTTGGCCAATTATTTTTTTCTAGAAATTCTTCTAATATTTCATATGTTTTCCAATTTATGGGCAGAAAATTATTCATACTATTTTATTATCTTTTTAAAATTTCTGATGTGTCTATGTGCAATTAAACATCATTTACTTACATCTCTTTTTAGTTCATCAATCTCTCCCCAAGTTTGTCTTTACCAACAACCAACATTAGGCTTTGTTGATCCTATTACTGTATCTTTGCTTTTTTATTTCCACTATCTTTATCATCTCCTTCCTTCTACCTTCTTTGAGGTTATTCTGGTTTCTCTCCTTAATACATTAATTTTCCACCTTAATTCTTTTCTAATACAAGCTTTAAGGCTATAAAATTCCCCCTAAGTACCACCTTAGCTATATCTCACAAGTTTTTTTTTTTTTAGTTAACCAGTTTTTTTACTGGGGTCACATTGGTTAATAAAATCATATAGGTTTCAAGTGTACAATTTTATAACACATCATCTGCATATTGCACTGTATGTTCACCACCTAAAGTCAAGTCTCCTTCTGTCACCCTATATTTGACTCCCTTTATACTTTTTTATGTGATGTTTTCATTTTTTTAAGTCGAAGTACTTTTGAATGTACATGATTTCTTCTTTGACCCTAAATTACAGAGAAGTGTATATCATTTCAAAAACCATAGCTATAAGTGAATATATATATATATATA